GGCTTCTCTCCTGAATCGGACGCCAGTGCTCACGCCGAACGATGGAGAGACTCCGTGACCTCCACGACCCGGTTGAAGCTGACCAGAACCCCTGATGAAGCCGTTTTTACCGATGTTTCTCTCAGCCTGGATACCGACGTGCGGTTGCGCTCGTTGACCAGGTACTTTACTTACTCCCCCGAAAACATCCGTCCTCATACGATCATTATTGTGTATATTACGATTGAAGTTGAGGTCCCAAGACGGTTGCCGATTCGGCCCACTTAGAGGTTGTGTTCCATGGAAGTTTATCGAGTTTTGGGGGTCGGCTTCTCTCCTGAATCGGAATATACCGCTAAGTTCGGAATTGTGAGATGAATAATCACTCGGCTCCAGATCACCATAAACACGAAGCAAATCTTCTTCATCGATTTTATGCAGAATGTTCAGTTGGCCGTTCAATTGTGGCTCAGATCCGGAAGCCACACTCGCGGTTTCGATGAGATCGTTGGACGTGTCTTCGTTGTCCAAGAGATATTTGTTAATAGTCGCATCGATCAACAGTTGCGGAACTTCCTCCTCATTTACGTTCGCGGCAATACTATTCTGAACATCAGTATCGCGACGATATGGCAGTGACTAAAAATTACATTCACGAGATTAAAATTTTATTTTCTACGTGTCTCTCGACAATTATTAAATTGTAACTTTTTGTTTTATTATAAATTTTAAACAATGACTGAATCGCAGTGTATAAAGTAATGCATTCTAGTACTAATGCATTCTGTATTGCATTGAAAATAAACTATATATAGTATTGAATTTAATAAATTATTTAATTTACTATACGTATATATATACTCACATACGAAGTAGACCATTGATATTTTTCGTTTTCAGCGATTGTGTACGCAACGACACATAATAGAACTATAACTGCAGCGTGCAGCTTCATTCTGAATACTAATTGAAAGACTCAATGGTAGTTCAGCGTCTCACGAACAGTAAACTTCTGTGCCGGTCTCGAAGAGGTTTCGCGCTTTTATGAGACATGCGGTCCACGCAATCGCCTCGCACGGGACTTCACCGCGTCTTTATTTTTACAACCGTATCTTTCGCTTTGTCGCGCGACGGCAGCTGCTACCGTCGACGTGTCTCCCGCCGTTCTCATTAAGGGAATCCCGTCTCGCGAATGGTAGTGAACTCTCGCGCCGATTGCGTAGCGAGAGCTATCTCTTGTGTTATTTTTCTTTTCGTTATCTCGCTGTGTCAAGAATATACATGATACGCAAAACTAAATACATTCGTATTTATCATATTGCACTGTTGCTCAAATATCATTTTTACACACTTTATGTTATCTAAATAGTCTAAAGAGAGAGATAAAAATATAAGAATGACCTTTAAGATAATAGGACGATTTTTTAGCAAAACTGCTACTTTCGGATTTAAAAGATATATTATGAAGATTGATAGGCCAATGTTATAAGAAGTATCGTGTATCCAATAATATATAAGTATGCGTATTTTATAAACAAAAAAGAAATACAGTTTGAGATTCTAAAAATATTTTTTTCAGAATAGTGAGAGAAACTCAATTATAAAAATCATACATATATATATATATACAAAGAGAATATTACAAGTTTTTTTTTTCATACGAAATCTTTACAATTTTACTATATTTCTAGTAATGCAGTCTAAACAGCAAGGTCTATCAAAAGAAAGTCTTACAAAATTCTATAGTAATTTTTGCTATAAAATTTTCTCCGAATATATGTATGTGCACGCTTAATTCTATTAATTGCATACCCACATTCTAATAAATTTACTCAATTTGTGGATCCAAATCTATTACTAAGATCTATTACTGAGATGAAGGAAATGCACGATTATTGCATTTTTACGTATAAATGATCGTATTTGTCATTTCATTAACGTTTACATTCGTCGTTGATGAATGAATAAAAATTGCTTCATGCAAAAATCATCCTACTATCTTAACAGTTATGCCGACGTGAATAAAGCGAAAAGATCCCGTAATAAAGTGACGTCATTTTCGAGGAAACGCAGGTGCGATTTGTGTGCGTTCGTTGTAAAGGAGCAAGTGTCAAGCGATATACACGTTCAGCGCTCGGATAGCGCGCGAGCATAGTCTTTTTGTCGCCAGGGTTCCCCGGCGATAATGACACGCGTGAGCTCAACTCTTAGGCGCACACTGGCTTCCTCTGGGTAATACCCAGACAGATAAGTGACGCAACGGGCACCCTCGGGAGAACCTAGGTATATCCCCGGGTGCGAAATGCGTATATAAGCAACCGAGATTGATCGAACAGGCACAGAAGTCACTCACTACTTCAACCGAGAGCATTCACGACCATCCCAGAAGAATAGTCGGTGTTCACGATGAAGCTACTAGTTTCACTGTTGGCCTTATCATGTGCTATCGCATATGCAAGCGCAAATTTACCTGGGGATCAAGCGCCGCCGCAATTGACCGGACCGGTTCTACCACATGTAAGTAATTACTAATATTCAAACGAGAGACTTTGCTATTAAAGTGATGAAATTCACTACGACCGTTCCAAACGGAAAATCACGCTTGAAAAATGATTATTATAATTTTTATTATAATTTATTATAATTTTTCTCGTCGACCCGGATTTTTATCAATGCGGAATCGCGGAAAACTAAAAGAAAAGACAGTTTTATCATTAATATGAATTTTGAATAATCGTGTACGGATAATATATCTTTTTTCACGATTAGATATCACTTTATCTGACGCTTAGCGTGGCAAATTATTGATGTGCGACAATAGATTCATTACAGCAATCGCACCGTAATTACCTCGCGCTTAACGTGACTCATAAAGAAACCTATTGCACTTGGGATTTCTGATTGGAATGGAATATCTTAGTTTAAAACCTTGACAGATACATGAATGAAGAAAAAAATTTATTTCGTGAATTTCAATGACAACTCAATTTTAAAAACTGCTGATCTTTTGCTTACAGACACCGCGATTTCCACGTGAAGCCGATCCCCAAAACTCAATAACCTTCCAAGGCTCCCAGCCCTTGTCTGGCCCACATCGTCAACCTACTTGGGACTTAAATTTCAACCGCAATATCGCAAATAATGACCGCAGTAGAACGGACATTTTTGGAGGAGTAGGAAAAGTACCTGGCCAACCAGTGCAACCACACATCGGTATCCAGACTGAGAGGAACTTCGGCAATAACGGTTTTATCAGAGGTTCTGGTCAACTTCAACCGGGTCGTGGAGGTCACGGAGTCTCTCCGTCGTTCGGCGTGACCGGTGGCTTCCGATTCAGGAGAGAAGCCGACCCCCAAAACTCGATAAACTTCCACGGAACACAGCCTCTAAGCGGGCCGAATAGGCAACCCACCTGGGACCTCAACTTCAATCGTAACATACACAACAATGGTCGTACAACGGCGGACGTTTTCGGAGGAGTGAGTAAAGTACCTGGACAACGAGCGCAACCGCATGTCGGTATCCAGGCTGAGAGAAACATCGGCAAAAACGGTTTTATCAGGGGTTCTGGTCAGCTTCAACCGGGTCGTGGAGGTCATGGAGTCTCTCCGTCGTTCGGCGTAAGCACTGGCGTCCGATTCAGGAGAGAAGCCAATCCCCAAAAAAATTCGATAAACTTCCACGGAACACAACCTCTAAGTGGGCCGAATAGGCAACCCACCTGGGACCTCAACTTCAATCGTAACATACACAATAATGATCGTATGAGGACGGATGTTTTCGGGGGAGTGAGTAAAGTACCTGGTCAACGAGCACAGCCGCACGTTGGTATCCAGGCTGAGAGAAACATCGGTAAAAACGGCTTCATCAGGGGTTCTGGTCAGCTTCAACCGGGTCGTGGAGGTCACGGAGTCTCTCCATCGTTCGGCGTGAGCACTGGCGTCCGATTCAGGAGAGAAGCCGATCCCCAAAACTCGATAAACTTCCAGGGAACACAGCCTCTAAGCGGACCGAATAGGCAACCCACCTGGGATCTCAACTTCAATCGTAACATACACAATAATGATCGTATGAGGACGGATGTTTTCGGAGGAGTGAGTAAAGTTCCTGGTCAACGAGCGCAACCGCACGTCGGTATCCAAGCTGAGAGGAATTTCGGCAATAACGGTTTCATCAGAGGTTCTGGCCAGCTTCAACCGGGTCGTGGAGGTCACGGAGTTTCTCCGTCGTTCGGCGTGACCGGTGGCTTCCGATTCAGGAGAGAAGCCGATCCCCAAAACTCGATAAACTTCCAGGGAACACAACCTCTAAGCGGGCCGAATCGGCAACCTACCTGGGACCTCAACTTCAATCGTAACATACACAATAATGATCGTATGAGGACGGATGTTTTCGGAGGAGTGAGTAAAGTACCTGGTCAACGAGCGCAACCGCACGTCGGTATCCAAGCTGAGAGGAACTTCGGCAATAACGGTTTTATCAGAGGTTCTGGCCAGCTTCAACCGGGTCGTGGAGGTCACGGAGTTTCTCCGTCGTTCGGCGTGACCGGTGGCTTCCGATTCAGGAGAGAAGCCGATCCCCAAAACTCGATAAACTTCCAGGGAACACAACCTCTAAGCGGGCCGAATCGGCAACCTACCTGGGACCTCAACTTCAATCGTAACATACACAATAATGATCGTATGAGGACGGATGTTTTCGGAGGAGTGAGTAAAGTACCTGGTCAACGAGCGCAACCGCACGTCGGTATCCAAGCTGAGAGGAACTTCGGCAATAACGGTTTTATCAGAGGTTCTGGCCAGCTTCAACCGGGTCGTGGAGGTCACGGAGTTTCTCCGTCGTTCGGCGTGACCGGTGGCTTCCGATTTAGGAGAGAAGCCGAGGATATCGAAGACGAAGATGACGCGGAGCTCATCGAAGAATAGGAAATCTCATTAAGGAGTATTAAGTCCCCTCTATATTTAAATCGGCTATGTACATATATATATATATATATATATATATATATATATATATATAATTTTATCAAAGATTCTAACTTATTCTCTTACTATTGGTATTATTAACGTTGCATTTGCATTTGTACCAACTGTGTACGATTGTTCGATTGTATTCACCTATATTTAAGACATGTTATTTATGACTTATGGAGGCTTTTATGTCCTTTTAACAGGCAGCATATATTATATAATACGTATACATTTTACGTATTTTATTTAAATAAATTATGTTTATTGGAAACTTTCTTGCATTTATATTTATGGTTCCGTACACATCCTGCAAACATCTTGAAACCTTCTTCCAATTTCGGAAGTTTGTACAAGTAAATTCGAGAAATTGTATTTCCGTTAATTAATTTTGACTCCTACTTGTAAAATAAACCGACGATCGTCGCGAGTGAAGAATAATGTCTCGGCAGACACTTGACCGTATCAAATTACGACTCGCATTACCGGCCGATATCTAATCTCGCGTGTAACTTAGCAGGTCCCGAGCTCTCCGGACGACAGGCGAATCCAATAAGTCTCGACAAGCGTGGCGAGGGCGCAGGGCTTTTTCGCGGGAGAGCCCGGGACATGACGATTAAACGTTTTCGCCTGCGCCAGGAACAGTAGTCATCCTGCACGTGGCCACTTTGACAATGGGGAGACAGTGTAGGGGGGGAGGTGCACCCCCCGCTGTCTAATAGCTGGGCATTAAATTTGTCAGTGATATTACCGGATGGGGTCGCCCTTGCCCTTCGTCCGGATCATGAATGGCACGGGACGACTGAAATATGCCGCTGTTCGTGCTTTTATCCCCTTCGCGACGCCGCGAAGGGGATGTGGCCCGAATAAATGCCGGACAATAGGAAGCGAGATGCAAAGACATCGCTCGAATGAACCCCCGCGTTTCGAGGTGTTGTTCTTTCTAGCCACGTGTGCCGTTTGAAAAACGAACGGTGATCCAGTCATTTGACGCTGATATGACGAAAAGAAATGCAAAAGGGATGTAATTACGGGTGTAAGAAGCGAGGAGAATTCTGGGAAGGGGATATCGAGAGTTGATCAGTTCACGTGTCCAAGATTTGCGAAATTCGGACATTTTGGAACATCAAAGTACACGCGCGAACGAACAAGCGTAAGAATTTCGGATATTGCATTTATCTCAAGGCGATTTCGGCGCATACCGCAAGGTAATCCCCAAAGAATAACTCGCGAGCTTGAAATCGCGAGAGAAATAACTTGCGAACAAGAGCAATCATTAACTCTCCGTCGTCCAAGCTGACTCGCTTCGAAGTATCTTTAGTAAGTAGCTTTCACCGCGGACGACGTGAATCACTTCGACGAGCGATTCGCTCCCAGATCGCCGAAGAAAAGACACCGCGGCCCGGGGATGCTGTAAATCGCGTTTTTTGACAGTTCGGCAGCGACGCTCTTTCGCCGACGAAAGGATATTGCCAGGAACGTCGAAATAGCAAATTAAGGAATTCCGAGACAGGCTACTTGCCTCTTTTCCACTTCCGCGGATCGTCCTTACCTTTCGCTTCGACCATATTTCTTCAGGATACGCACTCTCATATAAAGAAATCATAACAAGCTTCGTTTTAATTGCTCGATTATTGGCCGTTGTAAATATGTTGAATTCAATGTTCTTATTAAATAGCAGTACAAATATGTATCTTCTAATTATTATAATTACGTGATCTTTTTGGATGACAGTTGGATACGATGCTGAAAGACAAATCCGTGAGATATCTTTATTGTTGCAACAGAGACTAACAATATACTAATACATTTGTAACGCTGGTTTACCAACAAAAAATGCGAGTGACTTACAATCATAACCTTGTCGTCCTGCCAGGATTAATTAATCATAGCTCTCTCTGTCACTGTCTCTTATCAAAGTGCCCCCACTCAAAAAAAAAAAAAAAAAAAAAATCTGAAATTTAATATTTAGCGCGAAAGAGGACGACAAGGACTTTTGAAATTTAGGAAAAAAAAAGAAAAATAGATTTGGAGACACGGTTACGACTTTACCGATCATTTTTCTGTATGTTTTCTTTATTGCGTCGCTTTTTGCGCTTCGTTGCTACTCTTTATCCCTTGTTCCTTCTTCTGCTCCTCCTGCTCCAAGTATTTGTCCCATTTGTCTATTCGTGCCTCGATCTCCGCATCAGTCTCTGTAATTCTAAAAGAACACATTTCGATAATCACTTTAGTTACGTAACTCGTCTTTCATTTTCAAGTTCAACTTAATTTAATGGAATATTAACGTCGAGGAGTCTTACGTCGAGTAAGGTATCTGGTGCTGAATGAACATGCAGGCTTTACCAACATCGAATAAGTGACATGGATAACGCGAAGCGTGCTCAATTCACATGATAAGCGAGAAATGAGGACACTTTTCGAGGATGATTTATGCTCGGCCTCGCGACATGCTTATTCGCGCGGATATAATTTTGGACAACAAAAGAGAATGATTTCGATAAGTCTTAGGGATATCTGAATCCCGGTCAACTTGGATGTCTGCATCAGCTACCATCGGTAGTACCTATCCTGAAGCCGGTATAGTAGAAAGCGGCAATGCGAGAACTTACTTATACTTGGTCTTGCCGTCCCAGATCTCCGCCGAGATCTTCCTTTGGCTGAACCAACGACCGTTCAGAAGCTGCACGCAAGCCTGCGCCTCTGCCGGCTCTCGGAATGTGACCTGCGCTACACCCTCAGGATGTCTCTGCGAAGAAAACAGCGAGTCTTATGCAAGCCGTTTCGTTTTCTTTTTTCTTTTCCTAACGAAAAACTGACTATGATAGTAAATGTTGACACGGAAAGAAAATACGTGAAGAAATAAGTAAAGCTTACTATTTGAATTTTCTTATGCAGGATCTGCCGAGGATTGCTAGATCTATGGTAAATCTCGAAGAGATTTACTCAGAAATCCGTCCTAATGATATGTTCTCTTTCCGACTGTTCCCTCTGCCGATTTCTTCGTAGCTATCTCTCACATTTGTACGCGCAAAATCGATCATTTCATCCGATAAATTGAAATAAAAAAATATGCAAATATTTCGAGCGGACTCGTACTTTGTTCCTGACGTCAGTTATAATTCGACACGTCTCTCGGTCGAGTATAATTTTAACACGACATCTGCGGCCGGTTTCTTTTTCCTCTCATTTGCGGAAGGACGGCCCGAAATTCCACAAAATTATCAGCGGATTTCCTTTGATCCATCGCTTTAGCAAGCGTGTACTTTACACCAAGCACGACAGCAAAGGGCCATGACTCACCGAGAACACGGTGACAGTAACACGTGCTCGCACGAGCGAGAAAAAAACAGTAGTGGGATGCCTATGGTAAATTAGGTGACGGAAAATGAAGTTCCGCGCGTGGCTTTTGAAGTCGTTGCTATTTCTCGCACAACGACCAACATAAAAAGAAGAATACGACAGAATGGACATAGATGATGTTTCGTGGGTTATCGCTTTCTTAAAATTAGAGCGTGTGTTGCGACAATTACGGCATCGAGACGTGTTATAACATTCGACGACCCGTTCTCAACGGGTCGATAGTTAGACATTCAAATAAAATCTTATAGCTTAATTAAGTCGGTTATCAAGACAAACTGTCAACAAAAGAAATGGACAAGAAAATATCAGTATGGCACAAGTGTGACAACAAAAATACGCAGCAGACAGAGCAAAAAAAGAGAAAAACAAGGTGACACAGAGGGAAAAAGAAGGGGGAAAAGTCGACACGTCGTGCGCATGGAATGCACTTTGACATTGAATAGTTTCACGGCTGAGGCGCTGAGACTAGGAGTGTCTCTCGCCTCTCGCCAATTTATGGGACTAAGGGCATCCCCTTTCGGGGAGGCGTTTCTCCATTCTCGTCTATTCCGTGAAATTCGGCGGCTAAAAATACGGCGCGCGAAGGAAGCTCCTTCGGTTTAAAAGAGAAACGATTTCGGCGGTCGACAGTCTCGGGTTTTAGGTGTGTCAAGAGTCTGTGAGCGCGACCACGTTCGTAATATGCATACACGGCTTCTCGCTTGTCGGTGCCAAAAGGATCTATTAATCATAGGTCAGGGCTCACGGCACAATAGCACCTACGTAATCGCGCATGTCAAAGAAGGAAAGAGGAGTAAAAAGAAAAAGAGGAAAAACTTACGTCATAGATGATAACTTTCCTGACGTCACCACACTTCAGGCACTCTGATCGGATGTCTTGCTGATATTCCAAAAGCAGCTGGACTTCCTCGTCGAAATCTTCCGGCGTGAAAAGATTTTTTATGATGACGACTCTTTCGCACTTCAACGGCTCACCCCGCATACGCTCCGGTCGCCAATCGAACAGTCTGTAGGCACGGGAGAAAAGAGACACCGGGATGATGAGATGCCACGATAAAAGTCAACTGTGTTTAGACCGAACGAACAAGGAGTGCCCGATTCCTCGGGAGAGAACCCGTTTAAATCTATATATATAAATTCTCATTAGTAACTGCGATATTTGATGCTGTTAACGGTGTTTATCTACCGTTAACAACCGCGTGTGCATACGATCGCGAGCATCGGACCGGCCGCTGTGACTCCGCATCTGTCGATTCTCCGAGCTGCACGGAATCACGTCAATTCGTTGCTGTCATTATTGGAAGTGACATTTCTTAATGGCTAAAGATGCCGACAAACGTCGCTGATGCAGCACAAATTGTCGAGCAGCACGATCGAGAACGAGTCGTTAGCCGAGCCGAAATTTCGATTCAAGCCTGCGAATTCCGTCGAACTTCGAGTCGTTCGGAATTAACAATTTCGAGACGTCACATAAGCACCAGTTTTGGGTCGATTAAAATTTTCCTTGACAAAAATGATCGGCGAGTCAATAATCAAATTTAATCAATTGTCATATATAAAATCACAAATAATTTAATTGTTTGATAAAACTAATTATTCATCAATATGTATAATCAGTCACACATACACATCAAAGTTTGATTAATAATTAATTTCATCAATCGATAAAATTATTTGCGGTTTTATACGATTGATTTTGACAATTAATTAATTTTTATTTTGAATTTGCCGATTATTTTAGTCAAAGAAAACTTTAATTGATAATGCCTAATACACACTAAGAAAAAAGACAGTTGAATCTGCCTTCAATAAAATTGAATCTGTTGAATAAACTACCTATTGAATAAACTATATTTATTGAATAAATTATGCGTTAGTGCAACGAGTTGCGTTAATATATTATAATTACTGACTAAATCGCGATTATTGAATCAATTGATAATTCATCGTATAGCAATTATATTCAGTCGACTGAACATTTGCTTCGTTTGTTCAAGCAAAGTGTCTTATTAAGTCAACCACTCCTTTCTCTTAATGCACACACTGACAAACATATCATATTATAGAGAAGTAGAATAATGTGTTGTCTTTCATGTCAACGTTAAACTACTTACGTTGGAAATGCGTACACCTGATAACCTTCTCCGCGTCAAACAATACATAAACAAGGTGCTACGCGCACGTGCTGCATGACTTGTGTTTATATTGTATAAGAAACTCGTGTTGTCACAGGAAAGTAAGACTAAAGAAAGTGTTTCTCAATAATGTATCCGAAAGTAACAACACGAATATATATATATATATATATATATATATATATATATATATATA